TTAATGAGAGGTTCTGACAGATCTGGTCCCTTGCAGTAGTTTCACAGTCGGGAGGGCTGTACCAGACAGCCTCGGGGTCTCTGTAGATCACGTCCCTCTCTGTGCCTTTGATTAGCCAGCAGTGGCCATGCTGTTTGGAGGTGAGGTGGTGGTTTCTCTCACTAGAGCTGCCTCTGGTGATGGTGCCCCATCCCTGAACTTGCAGTCTGGCCTGAAAGCTCAGCGTGATCTGCCACTTGCTTGGTCCTGCTGTGTCACCCTTCTTCTCCATCTATAAGCACAGAACTGATGGGAAGGTAGCAGACTCTAGATCGGCCCATGACACATTGCCTGGAGAGGAAAGATGGGCCAGCCAATCAGATTTGCTCCTTGGTGCTCTAGAACCAGGATTCTGGAGAAGACTCTCAAAGAGCTCGGTGGAAAGGGTCCCCCCAGTAGGCGGGGCTTCAACACTTGTGAGTGTCTTGCTGTGCAAATGCTCAGCTTGTGTCGGGCAAGGCACAGCGGCCTGAGACCTGTCAGAATCAGAGCCCAGGACCACCAAATTTGGGAGCCAGGGGGAAAATTTTTAGTCAATGTGACCAAGCCCCTGTGTGCTTCTGCAGATCTTTTTTAGAAGTGGGGAGGCAGAGAGAAGTCAGAGGGAGAAGTTCCCAGAAAGAGCAGCCCGTCTTTGGGTTTGAACTAAGTGAAGTTTGGGACTTTCTCTGGATTTAGGGCATTTCTCACACCAGTGTGCATCAGAACCACCTTGGGGCTCATTGAAACCCAAGTTGCCTGCCCTCCCGGAGTGGTCTGGGGTGGAATGTGCATTTCTAACAAGTTCTGGGAGGAGACTGCCGCTCCCAGGTGGGGGGCACACAGAACCACTGATGTGAGGGCAAGAGGGACGCTCCTGCCCACATACGTGTGGAGATTCCTCAGCTTTCCCTCTCTGGTGTGTTGCTCACTTGTGGCCGCTGGAAAGAACACTAGTGTGAGAAGAAGGACACCTGAGCCTGGTTCAGGTGGTCACAGATGGCCCAAGTGCTCGGAGGAAGGGTTCTTGCTTTCCTGGGATTCTATTTCTCCTTCTGTAAGATGGACTCAGTAGTAGGATCTGCTTACCAGGGCCCAAGTGAGGAGCAACGGATGATGTCTTATTAACAGGACCGATGTCCCCTGACTGCGTGTCTAAGAAATGCTGCATTTCTTTAATTTCCACATCACCTAGACCACCAGACTGTGTGGGGCCCGCCCTCCTTCCCTGACACCAACTCAGCAACATCCTCTGGGCCTCGCCTTTCCTGTCACCTCTACCCCCCAACCATGGCTGCCTAAGTGTTTCCCTAAGTGTTGGTCAAAACTCCCACCAACTAAAGGAGCATTTCCCCACAGCGCTACCATTGGCATTTTGGAGCTGATCATTCAGAGTCCTAGGGGTCTGTCTTGGGCATGGTACAACGCTTAACCACATTTTTGGGCTGTGACTCCCAGATGCGAGTAGTGTCCCTCCAGTCTAGCTGTGACAATTGAAAATGTCCCCAGACATTACCAGATGTTCACTGGGTGGGAGTGGGGCAGCCTCGAGGGGCATGGTGATCACTGGAGTAAAGTGTTGACGTCTGTCTTCGCTGCTCAACGTAGCCCTGTCCTGGCACCCACCTGTCCACCTGCCTGTCACTTGGGAGTTACTCAACATTGGTTGAATGAACTAATGAATCTACGTTAATTTTCTTGAATTAATGAAAAAAGCAGTCTATAAAAACTGTGTACATGTAAGTGTGAGTAAAGTTGGCTGCCTGAGAAATACCTGGGAGCCTCATAAGAAGTCACCTTCCTGGGGTCCAATCAGAGAGTTGGGCTGCAACCTAGAAATCTGGTTGTCAAAAGTGAATCGTGGAGGGCTGGGGTTGTGGCTCAGTGGTGGAGAGTTTGCCTAGCACGCGCGAGGCCCTAGGTTGTATGCTCAGCACCGCAAAAAACAAAAAAAAACAGTAGATCCTGGAATCCTCAAGAAGTTGAACATTGGCTTTTTATAGGACCTAGCCACTCATCTCTGAGAATTGAAAGCAGGAACTCAGACATGTATTTGCTCGTATGCAAATATCTATGAAGCAGCAGTGGTCAGCAGAACCTTAGAGTAGAACCAGCTCCAATGTCCTTCAACAGATGAGTGGATAAATAAAGCGTGTATCCATACCACCTATAGGATTCCGCCCTAGAAAGCGGAGATCCTGTGGCAGCCTGGGTGAACCTGGGAGACCTGGTGCTCCGCAAGGCCAGCCAGGCACAGAGGACACGTTTGTGTGATTCCTTGTATGTGAGGTGACCCAAGTAATGGAGACAGAAAGTGGAACCGAGGCTAGGGGGCGCTGGGACGAGGGAGAATGGGGAATTGTTTAATGGGTACACATTTTTTTTCGGGATGCTGAGAAAATTCTTAAAGCGCCTTAATTGTATGTCTAAAAATAGCTAAAATGGCAAATTTTATGTTATGTGTATTCTATCACCCACACCCAGGTGCCTTGTCCCAGCCAGGTCTGGGAATCCGTAGTGTGGGAACAGGGAATGGGAGAGATGTGACCAGATGAGATCCAATGGCCCTTTTGGGCCTCACAGCCTGTGAGCTGCTGGGACAGACCTGACCTCGCCCACCTACTATGGTTTAGGCTGGTTTCTTGAGAGGGTGCCCCTTCCCTGGGAGTGTACATGTGACCCTCTATAGAGGCCAGGCGGGCCACCTGAAGAGGACCCCAGCTGTTGGGGACAGCTCATCTGGAGGCCACGTGTCCTGTCCATGGGGCAGCTGCTGCCCAGCTCCAGCTGGTTCTCGCATGTGGGAAGCCTGGTTGTGGGCGAGGAGTCCAAAAGCTGGGTTTGTGTGTGAAACTTGCTGGTGTTTAGCTGTTGGCAACTGGCTCATTGAGCAGCAGGCAAACAAACAAGCCACATGTGGGTCAGGCTGAGCGAACCCTGCGGGGCTCTGGTCTGCTTGGCAGTGTTCCTGGGCGCCTGCCGGCGTGGGCCTCGGGCTCCTGCCCCGTCATCACACGCTGGGTGGTGTCTGAGGTCTGACACCAGATCTCTTGGATCCTCTGAGAATTCCTCTTGCTTTTAGTGCACCCAGAAGGGAAGTGTATAGACCAGACATCAAGGGCCAGATCCCAGGTCCAGGAGTCCCCTCAGCCAGGGTCCTGAAGACTCTGCCACCTTGCTTCTCTCTTCCCGCTGTCTCAGCTTCCTCATCGGTCAAGGGGGAGTAGAGTCCTTCCCACCACACAGAGTGAGGGTGAAGAGTGCGGGGAGATGGGGCATGGACTCAGTCCAGGCAGGGCCAGCCCAAGTGCTCTCGTGTGTGTGTGTGGGGGTGGGGGGGGGTGGGGGGGGTGGGTGCGCGCGCACATGTGCGCAGGGTGGCGGGGGGAATGAGCATGGAGTGGGGTGCACACCTGTGTCTTCACCTGTGACATGGACCCGTGGTTTCACCCTCAGCCGTTCTCAGGAACCACGAGGTCTTTTCAAGTGATGGCTGGCCATGGCAGGTGCCCAATACATACTGTTCTGTCCTTTGAAGTTTGAGGCCTTTGCCATCTGCAGGGACCCGGGGAGAGGAAACTGGGCCTGGCCAGGTAGAGGCAGGATGAGCAGAATGGAGACATGGCCCTGCGTCCCCTGCCTCGTCAGCTCCCTTGCCCACTCCCTGGCCACCAGCACTTGAGCCAGCCCACATGCTAAGCAGGCCTCAGCCTTGGCTCTCCAGGGCAGTGGGGTGACGGGTAGGGACCCCAGCCCTGCTCTGTGCTTGCCTCTGAATGCTCACTACCTCCTTATCCTGTCAGCGTCACGAGGAAGGCCTCCTGTCTCTAGTTCACAGAGGGCTCAGAGGGGGCGGGCTGCATGCCCAGGTGTGCGTAGACAGCTGGGAAGCCACAGAGCCTGAGCCAGGCAGAGCCAGGGGTAGGGGCCCTGTCCTGGCCAGACCCTTCCTGGGAGGGCCAGTGAGTGGAAAGGCCATCACCCACCCAGAGCAGGGAGCTAGCATCCTGCCTAGAACCCTGAAGGAGTAAAGGGCCCTTAAATTCCTGAGATACTGGATGCCCAAAGGACCACAGGAGCTCTGGCAAAGTCAGTGGCAGATGGTAACCTCGAGGGCCACTGTGGGGATGGGGTTGGCAACAGCATTTGGGTTCATAGGGACCCCTGCATAGATACCTCCAGGTCCTAGGTCCAGAGGCGCAGAAATGGCACCCATTGCTGTGTGCTTCCCTGATGGCTGTCCCCTGTGCCCTGTTGGGAGGAGTGGCAGGGGTGGTGGGAACCCAGTATGCACCTCATCCACCTCCGTGTGCCCCTACACATGCCTGTTCGTGACACTATTTCATTACACATCCGTGTTTGTTCTATCTGCACACTGTGGTGAACAGGAGGGAGGACAGGACCTTTCAGGAGTCCTTCCTTCTAGTCTTGAGAAATATGTCCTCAGAGGCTCTGGGTTTGGGAGGTTGAGGGAGGAGGTACCCAGGACAAGTGGAAATCGAACTCTTGGCCCCCACATCTGGCCCAGTTGAGGAAGGAGACTCTGCAGGAAACAGGAGGGAGAAATGAGGGCAGTGAGGTGGCCGCAGTCCCCTGGCTGATGGCCGTGTTCCATGAAGAGCTCCCAGGCCACAGGGAGAGGTAGGATGTAACAGGCCTGGCCCCTGCCAGTTACCAGGCACCCAGGGGCTGAAGGGCTGGGAGATGCCATAGGAAGAGCAGAGACGGGATGCTGGCGTGGTGGGGAAGCGGGGGGCTCTCTGCTGGGGTGGGAGGCCCCCGTGGGACCACGAGGAAACAGACTCCACGCTGGCCTGGAAGAAGCATGTGCATCTTGAGCTTGGGGTGGGGGTGGGGTCACTGGCTGGACCTAGAGCCCCCGCCGCCTCCCAGCCCAGGAAGCTGGTTCAGTGGGTGGGACGCAGGGGCTGGACCTGGGACAGCACAAACATCTGCCCACCATCTTTCTCCCACCTCTGCAGGGGGCGGAGGAAAGCGCAAAGGGAAAAGCAAGAAGTGGAAAGAAATCCTGAAGTTCCCTCACATCAGCCAGTGTGAAGATCTCTGGAGGACCATAGGTAAGCCCACTGACCCTCTCCAGGCCACTGTGCAGTGAGTCAGAGGCGACTCTGGTAATGCAATGTGGTCTGTCCAGGGAGGCCCTTGAGGCCAACGTCTTTGCTAACGGGCATAAAGATGCAGCCAGCAGTCACTGACTCTTTGCAGTGACCACTTCCCAGTCACCCTTGGCGGCAGCTGCTATTACTTTACTCAGATGGGGAGACCGAGGTGCAGAGTGGCTCTGTCACTGGCCCAAGGTGCACAGCTCAGGGGAGGGCAGTGGGGGGGCCACCTGTCTCTGAGCCCCACATAGAGCTTTTCCTCTCTTCCTCCCCGGAGCCTGTGCACCCTGCCCTCGGGGAACAGCCCTGGCTCTGGGCTCTCCTCCTCTCTTGCTGGAGATGGTGATGCCCACCACGGAGCTGCTGCCCACCGACACAGCCCTGCCTTTTCTCTTCAGCACCATGTAGCCACTCCAACAAGGGCAGGAGCTCATCTCCTGTGGGGACTGGCACAGCCAACACACCAAGTGACCCCGCTGAGGACATGGCTGTAGGCAAGAGGCCAGGGTGACTGGGTGAGGGCTTCTATGGGTGGGCATGAGGAGGCTGGTCCTTTGTTCTGGTCGGACCTGGCCCTCCTCCCCAGTATGCCCTGGGGTGGGCACCTCCCTTGCTACAGGAAGGCCCCTCAACTGCTTGTGAGTGTCAGAGGTCACGTACATGTGCACATGTTTTACAATACTCAGGCCCACCGGGGACTGGATAGCCTACAGTGTCCAGTGTAGGGGAGGGGCTCACTTGATTGGCATTTATGAGACAAAAAGGCAGATGTGAGTGGGGAAGCAGGGTAGGTGCTGCAGGATGGGGTAGCTCCCTGAAACGCACCTGCCGTCCTTAACCCCTCCCTAAGGTCAGAATCTCCATGGTCCTTGGAGCCAAGAGTGGAGCTGGCCTAAGGAATTGCAGCTCTGGATCCAGCAGACTTGGGCTCAATCCCGCCCTCTCTCCTGGTCCCGGGACAGGATATTAGTCCATTGGGCTTTGTCTGCCTAGCTGTAGGTGACATAATGAGTGTGAGCACAGTAGAGGGGACCAGATGGGACCATGACTTGCTCTTCTCAGTTCTGCAGTTCCCAGCAGCTACTGCCTTGCTTGGCCCCTTTTGAGTTGTGGCCCCGGACACCCATGTTCACACTTGAGAATCAACGGGCCCGGGGGAGAGAGGAGGGGCTGCTCTCCTGGGGCTGGCAGAGCCCAGGGTAGGACTCGCGAGTGGCCAGGTAGACTACCATCCAGGACTACCCAGGACTCACAAGTGGCCTTCAGAGAGTCATGGGGAGAGCGCCTCTGGTGACTGGCCATTACCCCCCTAGAGATCATTTCATTCTTTGTCACTCTGATTTAGGCCTGGAGAGACTGGGCCCAGAGGTGGGCTGGGGTGGGGACCTCAGCTGCCATGGTCACCACACACTCCTGAGGGCAGAAAGGCCCTCCTGTGGGTGGTCCGAGGCTTTTCGGTCACCTTCCTCCTGGGTGAGCCTGCTGGCTGCCAGATGCCTCTTCTGGAGACAGATCCTAGCTTTCTTCTGATGGAAGGATGTCATTCACTCCCCATTCACTATGGGCCCCGGGGGCATCTTACATTCCTCCTTAGGACCAAGTGTTGCCCTGAGACCATCCCATGTGTTGAGCCAGAGGAGAGAGCTTAATATGGAGAAAGGTTCCCCAAAGGGGGGGATTACAGAGAGGCAGAACAACGGGGCGGGGCCAAGCCCACCTGGGAGGGGCCTGGCCTGCCAAGTCCACCCTTGGAAGTCATTTGCCTGGGGGGTGTCTGCAAGTAGCTGTCACGAGGGCATAACAGGCTCTGAAGGCCACTTCCTCAGAGAAGTCCCCCTGGCCCTGAATGAAAACTAGCCATGGTCAGAGTCGCCCAGAGCCTCCAGGCTGCTCCTGCTAGACCACCTCCCTGGGCTACTGTCTCACATCTGTTCGTCCCACAGTGTGAGTGGCTCTTCAGGAAGGGGCTGGATCTTTGAAGTTCATGGCCGTGTAGTTGGCACTTGGCTTACAGAAGGGGTGTGAGAGACGTCAGCTGGACAAATGAGTGAAGGAGAGAAGAAGAGGAGTGAGTGATCTCGGCTCAGGAAGGGCTTCGGATGGGAGAGTACATCCAGATTAAAGAAATCTTAATATTGTACTATATTTATTTCACGCGTGTCTTAAAAATATAAAAACAAGGGCTGGGGGTGTGGCTCAGCGGTAGAACACTTACCTAGCAAGGATGAGGCACTGGATTCGATCCTCAGCACCACGTAAAAATAAATAAATAAAATAAAGATATTGTGTCCATCTACAACTAAAAATAATGATAATAAAAAAAATATAAAACAAAAATATGAACTAAAGGGCTTCCGTTCCAGACAAGAGGAAGTGGATATATTGTTCCCTATCCCTCTTGCTAAGGGCAGTTGAAACCCTGGACATTGTGTGTAAAACAGACATAAGAAGACTCCTGAGGTGGAAAGAAGGCAGACTGGCTAGGGACTTTGAGTTTCTTGGGTTTTCTTTCTTACTCCCTATGTCCCTGCCTGGGAATCAGAGAAACTCAAAACCACCCCCCGCCCACCAAAAAAGACCCGGACAGTTTTCTGTAGCCAGAGGCCCTGGAAGGGGCAGCTGAGCACAGGGGCCACTCCAGAGCTGCCGTTTCACCTCGTACCAGCAGCAGGATGCGCACTTCCAGACTTTCTTCTCAATCTCTGTCTGAGCTCTGGCTGCAGTAACCAGTCATACTGGCCGGGAGGCTTTGACACAGGTGTTTACTCCCTAGTTCCGAAGGCCTGCAATCCAAGATCAAGGCTGCTTCCTGGCCTGCAGACAGCATCACAGTATCCTTGTGTCATCAAACGAGAGGAAGCAGCTCCGTCAGGGCTCTTCTTACCAGGGCACTAATCCCATTCCAGAGGGCTCCACCCTGGGGACTGAGCTGCCTCCCCACACCATCACAGGGAACTTGGCTTCACCACCTCAGTTTTGGGGAGGATACAGACAGTCTGTCACTAGGCAGCCTAGTTCCAGATTCGAGGACCTGGCTCTGCTTCCCCTCCACTTGCCTCCTGAGACACTGCTCTTCTGCCTTGAGGTGAAGGGGCCTCACAGGCTGTGCTCTGCCCGGCCTGCACTGCCACCAGATGCTCAGGTACCCTCCCTGCTCCCTCCTCCCCAGGGGCTTCCAGGCATTGCCCCAGGAGCACCCAAATGTCCCTCTTCTACTGATACCCTCCTTGCTGGAAGGAGACCTGGGAGTACAGGATTGGACTGTGCATGGGCTTCACCCTTTGGCCCCAGCCCCATTCTAGGCCCTTAAACGGGGCTCTTGGCAGGGCCCAGGACCCCAGGCAGGTGTGAGAATGGTGTACTGCCAGATGGGAGTGATGCTTTTGTTTTCTGAAGAGTTTTGAAAGAAGTGTGTGTGTGTGTGTGTGTGTGTGTGTGCAGTATGAAGAGAAGCCCAGGAAAACAGGAGGCTGACACAGACCAGGGGCTGCAGCCTGTGGGCTGGGCCGGGGCTCGGGCTTGCCGCCTGTTTGCGGGCAGTTGCAGTGGTGTTTGTACAGCCTCTGCTGGGGTCCTGCTGGAAGCCTTCTTAAATCAAAATCTCATTTCTCCTCTAGACCAATACACAAACCAAACAGTGGCAGACACTGCATTTGTTTTCTTGTGGACACACACGCTGCTCTACAGCGCTTTGGCTGGATGTCCCAGGGCAGGCTTTGTGCTGAGGCTCCAGGGCCCCTCGGGGCCAGAGGATAGTAGGGTGGTGCAGTGGGAAGGCTCAGGATCAGAGGGAAGGACAGAGCCCACGCGGACCCTGGGATGCTGGCCCCTCCATTGAAGCCATGACCTGGCCTGCCTTGGCGCTGCCCTGGGAAGCACGGGCTGCTCTGCCCAGCAATGGGGTGATTTTGAAAAACTGAAAACCGCCCTGTGAATCATTTTCCTGCCAAAACCTATCCTACTTGGGGTAAACCTCCAACTCTTTTCTGTGGGTAGCAAGCACTTTGGCTGTGGGTGAAGTCCATGGACCCCTTCTCAGAACAAGGCTTTTACATATGAAAGGGACCACAGGGGGTTACCAAGGAAACCAGTTCTTTTCAAATGCAGTTATTAAATACTTTTAAAATGTTTAATATAGAAATGTATGTGCTTCTTTGTTAATACTTTAAATAACAAGATCTAATAGCTAGTCTAATAGCTATTGTAATTTAGAATTTGGGATGAGCATAAGTGATACTTTCATATATCTGCCACAACTCTAAGAGGAGTGTCATTTGTGCTGGAGACGAGCCCCAGGCACTGCTAGCATTGTGTGGGCCCTTGTCGACATTCATGATGGCAGGCAGTGCTGGGTTTTAGTCAGAGGTTGGTGGAAAGAAGGCCAAGTCTCTCCCTGCAAATCTGGCCTGACATTCTTCTCCCTACCCTGCCCGAGCCCCCCCCCCCCCCCCCCCCCCGCCCCGGGCTTCCTCCTCCCTCTCTCGGCTGTACGCCTTTGTGTACAGCTTGTCTTCAGGCGGGAGCTGTGGCACCTGCTCTCCCCTCCACCTGGAATGTTCTCCCCACACTTTTTTTTCAGGGCGCTTTTAGGAATCAGCCCAAATTTCACCTCCAAGAGAAGCCTTCGCCCCCCTCTTGCGTTCTTCCACACGGTGCTGTTTATTTAATGTTCTCTCCCCATACCTCCGTGTGAAGTCATCATCTTTTATTAGTCATTTACTTGTGTATTTTCTGTCTCCTCCACTGGACTGGTTGTTCCATGTTAAAAGTGACTGCGTCTTGCCTGGTTCACTCCCCAAACAGTGTCTGGCACATAATAGGGCTCATCAAACATTAAGTGAATGAAGGATTGAAGGAGGTGAAATGTTTGAAATTCGGGCTCTTTTTAAAAAGTTTATGACATGTGTTTGCTGTATCTAAATTTAACCTTAGCCCAGTTACTTAAAGGAATGAGA